TACGTTCACCAAGGTGGACGTCGGTTGGTGTGGGGAGAGCAGCGAAGGTGTTTTCAGCAAATTCCGCGAAGCCTTTCTAATCAGCTTTAGAGAAGTTGATATAGGAAGCAAAGTCGGTTGGTTTATCGATCGAGATGACTATGGGCAGATGGTCTGATGCCAGATATGCTGTTTATCAGACCAGCGCTGACTATTGTTATGTCTGGCGAGCTGCAGTAGCTGCCCATAATCCTGGAGGGTGCGTCGTCGTTCATTGTGCAGAATATCGAATCGTCTATCTACTCATAATAATAATAATTTCATAAATTGTATCTGCCATGTTTAATAGTGTTTTGATGTCTGGATTAGGTAATGTTGTGAGGGAAACTTGTATTTGTGTTGGAAGTTTACGAATCCAAAGTTGGGTAATGAGTTTGTCTGGAATAGAGTCTGACTGTCCCGCAGTTTGTTTAAGTGTACGGTAAAATTCCGATAGTTTTCTATCGCATGTGTCAAGATCTGCAAGGCGAGACTCCAAGCGTTGGGATTCACTAAGAGAATTTCTTTCATTATCAATTCCAATTATCATTAATAGTTTGTATAACATCAAAAACTGTGGCGGTTGTTGTTGTTTTTGTAGCAGCGTACAAGGTCCCCAAAGAGTTTTTGGGGAGTGTTGCTGGAGTGACAGTCCTTGGCCAAATATAAATCTGGGTCGTTCCGGTTACGTAGACACGACTGTCATGGAAACGAAATGTGGAGGTCAAATCCTGTGATAGAGCTATTATAAGATATTCATACTTGGAATTTTCGTTGTTAATATTTTCGTTACCAAATTGAGTTTCCGCGAAAACAAACCATTGGTGTATTGGGTATTTATTATAAAAATAAGGTAATTTAAAACTTGGGGTGCTGACATTTTCAATTTGGGGAGGGGTTGGTAAATTTTGATTTTGTTCTACCGGTAGGGCCATAATTGGTTGTTGAAAATTAATTAAATTCCTATTTCTAGTAATAATCGGACTTCGCGGTAATGGCATAAAATAAAAAGAGAGCAATCACAAAATAAACTAACCTCTAAACCTCCAAACTCGACCTCTAAAAGGATGGATGTCGTTGACTTCTAGCATCTGGATGTCGCTTGTAAACTTGGATGTCGCCTGTGAACTTAGATGTCGCTTTGGGGTTTCAATTGGAACTGATGCCAATGTTAAATATCCTTCCAATAGGTATTAGTTCCTCTTAGAGATGTTGCATTGCCTTGTAGCCAGGCGAACTATTTACAGTGAACCGATTTGCAAATATTAAACAAATCCGCTTAAAGATGTGAGTTTTTTGTTGTTGTTGTTGTGTGGCGGCTACAACAACCCCGCCCAGATCGGTTGATATCTCAGTCTTTGTCGTCGAGTTCCACTAACGGCAGCCCCAAGAAGCGTGCAACCTCTATGGGGTCGGTCCACAGGGACGACGCCGTTAAGGTTGTGGGGTTTTCCGGGCATGCGAAGAGATGTTTCGAGTCGTGAGGGGTCTCTCCGCATGCCGGACATTCGTTCGGCACATCCGCATTTAGCCTACTCAGGTAGGAGTTTAGTCTGCTGCAGTAGCCAGAGCGAAGTTGGGCTTGTTATTCTGGTCTCCCGAGGCAGATGGAGCTCCGTCGCGTCAATGACCGGTGTTTGTGTGCATATAACGGCATTCACCGGTCTAGAGTCTACATAACTCAAGACTGCGTCCC